GTCATGTGATAATCGAAGTGATTTACTCTTCCGTTCAACATTATGTTGAACTATGATATCGTAAATATTTTTTTAGTTGTGTGCATACCTAGACGTGGCTTTTTATGTTACGGTCATAAATTGTTTCGTGCGGATTTCTAAATAACGTCCTTGAACTAATTTATTTCTATAAATATTCATCCGGTTATATTTACATAAATGCAGCAATTTTAATTACGTCCTTTGTTCCACGAACGGGTGATGAACTTTTTTATGAAGTACATACAAGTTTTTTTCCAGAGCGCTTGGCTCGTCACAAGCAGCTCAGAACAGTTGATTAAACAATACAGTCCGAAAAAACTAAAAAAGCTTATCTCATTTTGTTCATTTTTGTAGTGTTTTAAATTAACTAGATACTTATTAATAAATTTAAATTTAAATTATTTCACATATTGTTATCATGTGTATGATTCTACAAATCTACACCTTTTCCAAGTGTATTTTAGATAGTGTCAATTGTATTAGTGAATTCGATTACAGACAATATCACTTTTAATAATTCAGATCACAATATTTTGATTTCAGAAAATCTCGAAAATGCTCAAGTAAGATAAGCTTAAATTTGTTGAAATATTTCTTTTCAGTACAATAAAACCGCACTATTTATCAGTTGAATCAATCAAGAATAACTATGGATGGAAGCAAGATATACAGGGTGTTTTTGAAAGGTATGTAAAAAAAAATCTGATATATCTGACCATCTCGGAAAACCATATAAAACTTTTTTCATTGTAGAAATCTCACCAAAAAAAATTTACACCCGTCCACACTTTTTCTACGCCATTGACAAATATTAATTAGGTGTAAGGTGTATATAATTAATTGTTTCCTAGCAACTGGCTAAGGTAATGGATGACCGCACGTATGTCGACAGTGACAAGTATAAAGTCAAAATTTATTTCTTGCCTGTCGAGTCTTTTAGAAGAAAGATTAGCAAAGAAAACCGAAGTCTATTAGTTAGGACTCAAGGAGAATATTTGACTGTTGTGTTGAATGTGCATTACCATGTATCACTGTAGGTTTTAAAAGACAACGAATAATTATCTAACAATTTCTAAAATGCAGGCATTGAATGTAGCGGACTAAAAGCGGAGCAGAGTTTCTCGGGGAATCGGCGTATGGGATACACATCTGAGAAAATCCATTTTTTAGCAAAATTCAGTGAAAGATAAGTTGTGAAAGTGCCTAATAAAAATAAGTGGCCATGTACTCTACTTAATTCTATTTTCTACTAAATTAAAAATTTGTAAATAGTACCTACAATGTAAAAAAATTTTTGTTTTTCAAAAAACAGTTAAAAATCGCAACGTAAAATTAACATTGTCTATTACAATAATAAGTGTTTAAAATGACGTCCCTCGTTTCAAATACAGGCTTGCGCACGTTGAATCAGTAATCGCTCTAATGTTGGTCGCAACTTCCTCAATGCGATTTCTTAGCTGCTCAACTGTGTCCAACGGGGTCTGATGTACCAACTGGTTCACAAAAAGAGATCGCAGACTGAGGTCGGGAGACCGAGGAGGCCATACGACTGGTTCATTTCTGCCTATCCACCGTCCTGGGAAGTTCTCGTTCATAAATTTCACGGGCATAACGAGCAGGAGCTCCATTGTGGAGATACCACATATCACGGCGAGTACCTAGTGGTACATCCTCTAAAAGATTGCCCAAGATATTATTTAAAAAGTTTAAATAAACAACGGCTTTTAATCGGGGTCGTAAAATGTATGAACCTATTAGGTGGTTTCTAATCATACCTGCCCAAACATTGACACTGAAGCGGTCCTGAACCTTTCAAAAACAGTTATATTTTGCCTTTTTTTTTTCTTAATATACATAGCCATCTTTTCACAGCAAGAAACTTAGAACATGGTTAAATAAAATGGTACATTTTTTATTTTTGCAAGGAAGTATGGATTTTGCAATTATGGAGCGGAGCCTAATTGCAAAATCGGGATTTCTTTATTTCTTTACACAAATTTTCTATTTTAAACATGTTGCAAGTTTCATGTTGTGAAAACAAGTCTACACAATACATATTAAAACAAAAAAGCAAAATATAAGTCCACCCACCCGCCCTATCTCAATTTATTTACTGTGCAAAATACTTATTTCTTTACAAGAAATTAATAACAAAACTATGTATATTAAGAAAAAAAAAGGCAAAATATATAACACGCCCACCCACCCCATCTCAATTGTGATGACTTTTTGTATTCTTAGAAACTTAAAACACCTTTAAAATGGTAAATTTTTACAACGAAATATGGATTTTGCAGTTAGGCTCCGCTCCTAGGTCTGCCAATGAATAAAAACTAAATAGTATTCTTTGAATTACACGATACACAAAAATATGTCTTCCATGGTAATTTTTCGAAGAGAAATAATAAGGATTTTGCAATTAAATTCCGCTCCTTTGGCTCTCGACGATTAAAAAAAATCATCACAATTGAGATAGGACGGGTGGGCGGGGCTTACATTTTGTATTTTTTCTTAATATACGTAGTAAATTTCAAAACAAGAAACTTAAAATAAACAGTTGTCAATTTTTGTGATACACTCCGTGCCTATGAAATTTTAAATTATGTTTAAAAAAGTTGGTTCTTAGTTACACTTGATGCAGTTTGAATTATAATTGATATTATCTGAAATCGACTTCATCTTTTTCGAAATGCAGTTGAAAATGGTGTAGTAGATACAAGCGAGTTCTGCTCTAAATTAAACACTTAAAAAATCTGTAAAATTAATTGCAGTAAAATCGTCTTTCCTTTGGGTCAAAGGTAATAAGTTTTTTGATGCTAGGTTAATTCTAATATTACAGCTTATCACTAATATTTTAGAGTCGACGCTTTTAAAAAAATCTTGTTTCTGCAGGCTATAGAGAATGATCCTAGGTCTATTTTACTTCCTGAGCGTAAGCTAAAGAAGTATAGTAATGGAGTCCATCGAGCGAGTTGCCACTTGCATGCTTTCTTGACGTTTCATGACCCCTAGAGTACAAAAAAGTGATCTCCCGTTTCCGTCTGTCTGTCTGGCTTCTCTGTCGATTTTTATTTCATAAGATTGTTGTCAAATTTTGTATGTATATTAGGAATAACATGTAAAAGATGGATTGGTTCTACTGTTCTACAATAATTATTTACTATCGAAGACTGTCTTTTCTGTTACATAACAATTATTTTACAACATTTTACAAAAGTGTATAATACCCTCCGTTAAATTCTCTTGTTGTTCTAGTACATAGGACAAATTGAAAATATGTCGACGTTAAGCCTGGAGTATTTGCTGTACTCCAACCTTGTTCGTGGAGAATTCTCAGCTCTATGGCTTCATTTAAAGATATTGATTTCTCCATCATGTAATAAAATATTTACAAAAAATAAAATGCACCCCGTTCTTTGTCTTTATTTGTAAGGGTGTTTTCACATCCTTGGAGACTTACATAATTGCATATAGAAGTTATACGAATTGTTAAAAAAATACCAAAAATTTTTGCTGATTTAATTTTGTTCACAATTATTTTCCACATTTTTTTTTTAATTTCTTCAGTTGCGAGCGTCGAAAATGGAATGTAAAAGTGTTAAATTTGATTGTTTGCTTTTTCAGTTCTTTTATACTTTTCTCAGCAACCTATCAGTTTCAGTCGCCGTGGAGGTAATCTGGAACAACATCTTGTTCAAGGTTTTGATGACGTTCGTGAAAAAAATTGAGGACAATGAATACAAAGAAAACAGAAAATATCAAACTCATTGTCAATTTCTGTATTTGGTAAAAACATGACACGATCAATTAGCAAAGTAACAACAAAATATCAAGTGAATAAACGGGAAGGTAATCTAAAAATTTCCACCAGAAATTAGTACCAAAGTGCGTAGCAAAAGCAAACAAACGTTGAATCAATTTTATCTATCACATCACAGCTATTATATTATCGGCGCCATATTAAAGTAACGAATTCTCATTTTTTTAGATTAATTCGATTATCATTTTACTTTGCAAAGTGCATCTTGTAATATTATGCCAAAACTCTCAATTTTTCTTTAAGATTAAATGATTTTTTTTTATTTAAAATGCATAATTTTTGATTTTTGTAGAACAAGAAATTTCAAAGTACATAGTTGGAATGGGGTTAATGAAAAGTATTGTGGTTGTTTTTTTTTTAATATTATACCACAATAATTCAAACACGTTGACAGTCAGGGTTTTTTTTCCTAAAGTAAGCAGGTTGACGCAACATTGGTTGCATACTTTCAATGTATTGACACCGTAATCTATTGATGTTTTTTAAAAACTGAACTGATTTTAGAGATTAGGCTCATGTTTCTTTTCATAATATGTTCAGAGCTAAAAAAAAAGTTCTGGTACTATGTAATATTCTCTCTGTAAACTCGATCACTAAAGTGATTTATTGAGCATTTAATTTAATTTTGAGCATTTACTTTAATTTTAAGCATATACTCCATTCTGGGTTATTCTTCTTATTAACTAAAAGCTAGTTCAGCCTAAATTTTGATTTTATAGATTATAGATTCAGCCGAGACTAAAAAGTGAACATGGAAGATATCACCTAATCTTCTCACTCTCGATTCGGTGTCTCAGTTCTTTCTTTATCGCCTTGTGGCTGGGGTTCTTGTAAAGGTTTTGTAACGTATCTAATCTTTTACATAAAAATCGAGAACTATGGAATGTTATGTATATTTTTAACCCAAAAAGGTCTTTAACTATATTATTTTCAGGCAAAAACCTCATTCAAAATTGGAAATCGTATGAAAGGTGGAAGTTTAAGAAAAGGCTCAGGTTTTTGAATTTTTCCGGAAGATGTACCTGCAATTTTATTAACGGTCGGAGACTTTTTGAGCGCACTGAATATCTAAATGTAGTTGTATATTTACACAAATAAGAAAAAATAATTCAGATAACCAGTTTATTGTGTAGGTACTAATTGTTTCATTTTGTTTCAGCAATCTGATACCCAACGTCACCGTTCATCCAGTAACCCAGCGTCCAGTAGCGGTAGGAACAACCCACAACTAGTATTTAGATCAAATTGAGAAAAAAAAAGTAAAGTTCGGTGTAATAAAAACTATTGATTTTACACTTAAAATCCATTTTGTCCAATACAGGCAATTGGAAAACACAAGATAAAATGGTAGAAAACATAACTGATTTTGTCTTCAGCTCTGAACTAATTTCATCAGATACGATGATAGGTACTTGAAGTATCAATCTGTGTTATATATTATATTATAAATAAGTCGTGTATAAGGTACCACTGCAACGTCAACACATTTACAGAACCACTATTAAATTTAGTAAATACTTCATAATGGAATCGACTGTATCTCATAAATTAATGTTATCAAGTGTTGTGCCGATTAGAAAAGTTCAAGGAGCAATTAATCACAAGGATTTTAGATCAGTAAATATGCCACCAATAGCAGAAAGAAAAATCATAGAAATGGCAGTTTAAAACCAACTACTAGAGTTTATACAAAAGCACCATAATATCTTAGTCTCAAACAAATCCGGTTTTCGAAAATATAATTGTGAGACAGCTAGACTCCTACCGTCATAGTGAAAATCAAAGAATAGTTGAGAATAACAAAGCAAGACTGGCGACGTTTCTTGATGAATAAGGGCTTTCGAAATAAAACGACTCCAACAACTCCAAAATAAGACAATGAGGCTGACAAAAATTGAAAATATGAGGAGAGCATTAGCATAATTGGACTACAAACATTTTTTACATATATATCTTAATCTTGAAAACGGTAAACAAGATTGAACCCTTGAATTTAACGAAAAAAATTAACGACTTAATAAAATATATGAGCAGTAGTACATAAAACAGTTATTTATATCTCTGTTCTAAATCAATAATTTGACTCTAGTTCATTGTTTGATTATGTAATAATAAAATTTGAAATGGAAGGAAGCGTAAAAGGCAAGAAAAACCAAACAATATATTAGCTTATCAGTTATCAACTAGTACTTTTTTTGTATTCACGACCCAAATTATTTTACTTTTTAACAGATACATACAATAGAAAAGAATTGGTCAAACTTCATTTCCCGTTTTTTTAAGCCAACCGTACTTCAAATTTGCGTGAAAATATTTGAAAACAAAAGAAAACAGAGTCATACTAAAACACTATGTTTATTATTATTATTTTAATACGTAAACAGGTTTAATAAAAAAAAGACTAGGAAATAGAATTCGATGACAAAAAAGTAAGCCCAAAAGTAGTAAAATGTCTAATTACTTGTTGGTAGTAGGAGCTGTTTGGTTGGTATTGACTAGTATTGAAATTCTTGATTGTGATTGGTCAATTTCTCTATGTCAAGTCAAAGCATCAATGAATGACCGAAATGTCAAACATGTGTGAAAGGTTATCGTATAAATAATTATTGTTTGATAGTGTACCATACGATATCTTACTATAAAATTAGAATCGTAAACAACATGCAACATTACGAATTTCCTGTTTTCTCTGTGACCAATAATATTTAGTAATTGTAGAATATAACCTACAATGGTTAGCATAAACAAATCTTTTCTTTATGGAATATGTGTTGCTTCTGTAACTTGGATCATATCTTTATATTTATACATCAGATTAATACACAGTGAACCCCAAACGGCACTACTACCACTACCGTCATCAAAAAGTGTTTACTCTACTTATAATTCAATTGAGCAAAATGATAAACCATCAAAATACTATCGTATCAAAAAGAAAAACGTTAGTAAAGTTAACAGCGACAAGTTAATTAAATCACTGCAACCAGGATTTAAAGAAAATCGTGGCACTGGTGTTACGGGTGGTAAGTTGAAATGGTAAACAATGGATATATCAATTTATAATTACTTTATTTTTAAGAGCTGAATGAATTGGGTTTAGTTAAAACCCTTGAAGACCAAAGGAAAAAAGAGGATGGTTACAAACGTCATGCGTACAATGTTTTAATAAGTGATCAGTTGAGTTATCATAGAAAAGTCCCTGACACCAGAAATACACTGTAATAAAGCCGAATTCTAATTTTTTCACTCAGTTAAAGTCCAATTGTTTCAGGTGTAAAAACGTAACATATTCTTCAGATTTACCAACAGCTTCCATTATTATATGTTTTTATAATGAACACTACCATACACTCTTACGTACAATACACTCTATTGTAGACAGAACACCAGAATCTCTTTTAAAGGAGGTTATATTAGTAGATGATTATAGTGATTTAGATGACTTACATGATGATGTGTTAGATTATCTGAAAAAAAATTTTGATGGGAAAGTGCAGTTATTTAAAACTGAAAAAAGAGAAGGTCTAATTAGGGCAAGGTTGTTTGGAGCTAGAAGAAGCAAGGGCGATGTATGAACTTATTTATTGTTTAAACAAATATTAATATTACTCTTTTTAAGGTGGTCATATTTTTAGACAGTCATGTTGAAGTGAATGTTGGTTGGATTGAACCATTGTTGCAAAGAATTAAGCAAAGCTATAAAAATGTAGTCATGCCTGTTATTGATATTATTAATGCTGATACATTTGCTTACTCTGCAAGCCCTCTAGTAAGGGGAGGTTTTAACTGGGGCTTACATTTTAAGTGGGAAAACTTACCAAAAGGTAAATGGACTATCAAAATGTGCACATTTAGCAGTAATGTTTTAGGTACATTAACAACCAAAGCAGATTTTGTCAAACCCATCAAATCGCCTACAATGGCGGGGGGATTATTTGCAATGGACAAAAAATATTTTTTGGATTTGGGGGAATATGATGCTGGTATGAATATCTGGGGTGGAGAAAATTTAGAAATATCATTTAGAGTAAGCTTAGTTAATAGTGCTACCTTAGTAGATTAAATTTTTGTTTTACTAGATCTGGATGTGTGGAGGAAGATTAGAGTTAATTCCTTGTAGCAGAGTTGGTCACGTGTTTAGACAAAGACGTCCATATGGGTCTCCAGATGGTGAAGATACCATGTTACATAATTCTCTCAGAGTAGCAAATGTGTGGATGGACTCCTACAAGGTACCAGTTGGTAATATTAAATAAGCACTACTTTCTATCAACTGTTTAAGGAATATTTTCTTAATCATCGCCCTGATGCAAAAACCATTGACTATGGAGATATTTCGTCACGCGTTCAGTTGAGAAAAGAACTGAAATGTTACGATTTTGACTGGTATTTGAAAAATGTTTATCCAGAGTTAACATTACCAACGGATAATGAAGAACGCTTAAAAAAGAAATGGTCAGCCCTAGAAAATGACAAATATCAACCTTGGCATTCTAGGAAACGGAATTATGTTGACCAGTATCAAATTAAATTGGCTAATACTTCTCTGTGTGTTCAAGCAGCTAAAGATATTAAAACAAAAGGTAGTGGTTTGATGTTAAAGCATTGTGTTAGAACAAAAAATCAGTTGTGGTATGAAACTGATAAAAATGAGCTAGTTTTGGGACAATTGCTTTGCCTACAAGCCAGCAAACCACATCCCATTTTATATAAATGTCACGAAATGGGCGGAGATCAAGAGTGGAAACATAAAGGAGAAGTAATGTGGCGTTAATTGTGCATTGCATCTTATTTATGAGTAATTTTGTAGAATCGGTCAGCGATTTATAACATAGCAGCTGGTACATGTTTGGGCGCAAAGAGGCCTAAATCTGATGCAGTCGTGACGATGAAGCTTTGCACAGATGAGAATTTAATTGCTTGGGATATTGTTAGATGAGGGTTTTATTTTTATTTTTCTGCTTAAGACTGATACACGTGAATACTCCAAGAATTTCAATAATAGAATTAAAAATACGTAGCGTTAAAAATGTTTACATTTGTTTGTTAACTTAATTTATGCAGTGTTTACATTTATAGCGCAATAGTATTAAAAAGTGTATGTGATGTGTTGCAGTCTTATGATATTTATTAATAATACATTTTATAGAGAGTTTGCTGTACTATTTTTCTATTACATTATTTATGTTGAAGAAATAAAAGCTCGTTGTTAATAGGCCTTGAAACTTATTTGGTTTTGATGGACAAATAAATCGAGTGTGAAAGTAGTTGAAACAGTAGCAAAGTGAATTGGCTAGTGTATATTGTGTTGCATACGTTACAGTATGTTTGATTTTATCGGGTGCATACAAAAACAACCGTACAGAACTTTCGACTCGACCAGTAACAAAGTTGACGATTAATTTTTTGAAGCTATTGAAAAAAAATATAATATGTGTCGACTATTCTCTAGTATGTGAATCTTTCGGAAAGAATGGCAGTACCTATTTAAGCATATGTATTGTTTTACTTTTTTTCGTTATTTATGAATTTGATCTATTACGAGGATACGTTGATAAACAAGTCACTTGACTATAAAAGATTTGATAATAAATTTTGTGGCACCTCAATGCATTTTTTGTATTTCGAAATCAGTGAAAATAAACCATTTAAAAAAGTTTTTATCCTGGTCTGCAAAATACCTACCTATATTAAAAAAGTTAAATTTCAACGTATTTCGACCTCGAGGACTGCGGAAGCACGTGTCTAAGTTGTGTGTGCGAAGCATTATCCAATTAAATGAAGTTGGGGAAAATATCCGAATTTTATGAGGAGTGGGTATTATACAGGGTATTTCACGAGTAAAACTGAAAACAAATCATGAGCAGCCTTTGCATTTTGTACGTTTTGTACAAAAAATCTTAAATCAAAGAGATTAATAAGTAATAATCTGAACAACAAAATATGTGAATTATAAAGTTTATTATTCAAAAACTAAACAAACAGTTTAACAATATTAATCCAACAAATGCTGAAAATGCCATACTTTTGTTGGCAAGCTTGCAGTCTTGCGCAAAACGATTTCTTCACTTCCATTGAAATTTCAACAAAGCGGCATTCCTCAGAAATTCTGTGTTCCAAACATTCCAAATCCACACGAAGGATTGGGGTTTATAAACCCGTTCCTTCTTGAAATCGGTTTGTTTAATAATGTTTTCAGTTGTTTCCATATATGTTGTTCCAATATACAGGTGACTACTGACCACATCTATAATGATTGAAACAAATTTTTGAGTTGGCGATTCTGAATCATTGGCAGCAATGTTAGCATATCGGTTCATAGTTGTCATTTTTTTTTTTTAATATTACACAGGCATGCCATTAAAAAGTTCTAAATATGTTGCGAACCTGACAAAAAAATCACGAATATTAATATATAGTCACTCGTACCTAAATTCGAGCAGTGAATATTGAAAATTCTGAAACCAAAAGGATCGGCTTTTATTAACATGTTTGAAAATTCATCATATTCGTATAAAATCGCTTTGTTATTATTATTTTTAAAAAAGTACAATATTCCATTTTTATACCGCAAAACAATATTTTTATCAGATAGAATACCGGGAAATAATCCGTTAATAATTCGTGCCGTTTTGATTTCATAGTATTATCCATAGTTTTTGCCAAAATTAAAAAAAACACCACTTGTTGATTTCACTTGCTAACAAAAAAAACTCCGTAGAATCTTTAACGAACGTCAAACTTGTTATCACAAAACATGCAAGCACATACAATTTAAGTCAATTACATTATCGTTTGTAGAATTTTAGTTTACTACTACATCTTTTTAAAACGTTCTAAAACGTCAAAACCCTTCCAAAGTCTGCAATTGAGCATAAATTAATTATAATCTATTTTTGTTTTCCCCTCGTGTCAAACTTCAGATTTAATACTACTCAGTGGGCTGGCAATTATATTTCCAAGGTAAAATGCAGTGTTGGTGGTTTTTTAATTTTGCGAAGTACTATAATCGTACTAAAACATAAAAAAACAACGTTGAATTTGAGTTTTTACCCTGATTCTTAACCCCTTTTCTAATTCAAATTTTCCAAAAAAAAAAAAATTTTTTAGAAAAATGAGTTGATTTTCAAGTTTTAGTCGTAGAAGTTTGTTGAATTTGAAAACCAGCCCATTGAGGTATTTTCAAAAACACAAAAAATTGGCAAAATGACCTGTTTTTAAGCCCATTTTATCTATTAAAAGATCGATTTTTTAATGGAAAATACCCTATTTTTATGGCCTTTTTAAAAATGTGAGCCAGATTTTTATGCTAAAAATAAGGAAAACTACCCTGTTTTTATACTTTCTTAAAAAATGTGAGCCATACGTAACAACTGAATCTGTGGTTTTTATTGAAAAATGTTCGGATTAGTAACTAAAAAAAAATCATGTGAGGTATTTGAATTTGGAATACGAGGAGGACAATCAATGATTCCGCATAAATATGCGTTAGCTAATAATAATTGTTACTTGTATGATGAAAAATTGGGTAAAACAGTTAAACTATCAAAAGAAGAAGGAGAACATAAAGTAAGAAGTATAAAATAGTAAGAAACATTTGAGTTATATAATGTACCTGGATTGTAATAATTTGTATGGTAAGGCCTTAAGCGAACCACTCCCTATTGGTGGTTTTAAACATAAAAATGAAAATGATTTCAATATTGAAAAAATTCTAAAATTGAAATATGATGGTAAACATGGATATACATTTATAGTTAATTTAGAAATTCCAAAAGAATTACGCAAAAAATTTAAAGACTATCCCGTGTTACCTGAACACTATAAACCAAATCTAGAAGAGCTATTATATCTTCTATTCTAATTAATTTGAATGAAAATTGGAAAGAACCCAACACATACTAAACTCATATCTACGTTGAAACCAAAAGAAAATTATATAATTGATTATAGGATGTTGGAAGAATGTATTAAACAAGGAGTCATTTTGAAAAAATTAAAAAAGGTAATTTCATTTAAACAAAAAGCTTGGTTGAAACCATATATTGACTTAAATACTAAATTGAGAAAAGCATCAGCTACAAACGAATTTGAAAAAAAACTTTTTCAAACTTATGAACAATTTTGTATATGGTAAACAAATGGAAAATGTAAGAAATAGATGTCAAGTATTATTATTTAATAAATATGAACAATTTGAAAGATGTAACGAGTTTAAAAGCAGAGATGTAATAGAGATGGTATTAGGGTATAAAATGAAATCAAAAATAAAATTAAACAAACCAATATATGGTGGCTTTGTTGTATTGGAATTGTCAAAATTAATAATGATCAAGTTCTATTTTCTATTGGAACTATCTGAAACCAAAGTATGGAAAGAAAATTAAATTAGGTACATATTAATAACTGATACAGATTCGTTTCTCGTTTATATTAAAACTGAAGATGTATATCAAAATGTAAAAAATGATGTTGATGGGTTTGATATATCTGATTATAAAATCGATTGGATGCCCCAAAAAAATAAAAATGTACCAGGATTATTTAAATATCAAGTGCTAGGTATACCAGTTAGAGAATATGGTGGTTTAAGATAAAAAATGTACGCATTTAGATATGATGAAATGGAAAGTAATTATTGCAGAGAAACCAAATCGTTTAAAACTAAAATGAAAGAAAAGAAAGTTTGTAAAGGAATCAAGAAACAGAATATTGAAAAAATTGGATTTGAAATACGAGGACAACTAGACATATTATCTACCTAGCCATGAAGAAAACCATTGACACCGTTGTCGTTAATATGTCAAATAGTGCCATTTATTTTAACCCTGCACCGAAAATTTGAGTTAATTTGGATTATTCATTTCGGTTTTATAAGTTGTTACACAAAGGAAAATGAGCAACCTGAAATTAGAGGACAATTCGTGAGATGAGGGTGGCAGTTTATGGAAATGATGCACCGTCTTATTAACTAATAAAATTTTGCTCTAAACAATTTCGGTAGAGACGTGAATCCATCGAAGACGACCCTAGAAATGGAAAACCAAAAACAGCAACAGATGGAGAAATGACTCAAAAAGTTGAAGCTATGGTCCTCGAGGATCGGTGTCTTAAGGTTTACACAATTAGCAGGACATTAAATATATCCGAATCTAGTGTACTAACCATATTGCATAAAAATTTGAACATGAGTAAAGTCTCTGCCTGATGGGTTCCACGATTGCTGACATCCGAACAAAAACTGATCAGAATGGAAATTTTACGAAATCATTTGGAAACTTTTGAAGAGAATTGCGACTTATTATTGTCTCAAATTATAACCGATGACGAGAATTGGGTACACCACTGGAACCCTAAAACAAAATCTAAATCAAAGCATTGGGTTCACAAAGGATCTCCACTCCCAAAAGAGGCACGGACGGAACCATCTGCCCAAAAATTGATGGCAATCGTTTTTTGGGACATTAGAGGCATACTTCTTATTGAATACATACCCAAAGGGATAACGATAAAAGTAAACAACTATGCGATCACTCTCAAAAATTTGGGTAAGGCAATTAATGAGAAACGGCCCATGTTGACCAACAGAGAAGTGTTTCTGCTTCACGACAATGTGAGGGTGCATAAGGCGGCTAAAATTCATCACGTTGTGCAAGAATTCAGGTTCGTTGGAGTGGATCATTTCTCCTATATTTCTGATCTAGCTGCGTCTGGCTTTTATTCATTCAGATTTAAAAAAAAACACCTCCGCGGACCTCGTTTTAAGTCTGATGAATGCCTAAAAGAAGCAGTTTAACATTTTTTCGACGATCAGGAAGAAATATTTTTTTTTCAAGGGCATAAATTCATTGGAGAGTAAATGGCGCAAGTGCGTTGATGTAGGGGGTGATTATATTGAAAAATAAAATTATCACCAAAATTGTACGTCTTTTGTTTCATAGTCAGGTAGAAAATATATTTACTGGCCCTCGTATTTATTCAACAATAAAGAGACGAGAAAAGTAACAATTTCAAATTTGTAAATGTAGAATACAACGACGACGTATAACAGTATTTTATTGGCCCGATAACCAACAAACGCAACCCATACCATAAAGAAAAATAATACTGCCCCACCAAGAAATTCCACCGGATCGAGTGGTACTCTGTATCCGTTATGTTAATTAATGTTATTTTTTCTGTTGAATTAGGTTTTCCAACTCCAAACAGTGTAGA